CCCACAGCGCACAGGTTTGCTTCACGGCTGCAGACACAGAGCAACAGAAAAAGTTTTCGAGGTTAATAGAAAAAGGCAATATTAGATGATAAACGTAAATATAAGAACAAAGTTGCAGAGAACAGTAAATTATACACCCCTGTGAATTTTACATTTCGGGCAAACGTGAAACAAAATCACGTGTTGTGTATTCAGGGGCAAGTGTCCGACTCAATCCGCCTCCGGCTCGAGGTTCTACTTGTTACGAAATTAATCGACCAAATGAGTAATCGTCGATCAACAAATTAATAAATCATTCCCGTCGACTGTTCGATTGATCTCGACAGTCCAGCAAAACGCGCGCCTGCGCGACTCTGAACAATTTTCGTGGTCGAACTCACCAAGAACGCCGAGCCTGAAGTTGATAGTGACGACCACGACGTGTCCGTAGCTCGCCAAGACGCCGCCGTCGTACGGGTTCCCAGAATTCCACTCGTAAGATTCCCCATGGACGTAAACGATGACTGGCAGGGGACCCGGGGGCTCATCTGCAACAAGAGGTCTTGGGTTACGTCGGCGTGATCAAGGTGAGGTTTTCCATGAAATAAAAGCTTTAACACAATTTTGCTGAGAAGCGGAATATGGAGTATCCGATTACAACACGAGGCCGGAACAGAACCACGTAACATGGATGCAGACCCACATTTCTACAAAAACGGACCTAGTCCATAGAAGAACTTAAAGCGTGAGAACTGCTAAAACCTCAGGGTTACATTCGGTTACTTCAGAAATGCACTGCGTCACTCGAATGACTGGCGGCTGGGATTTTAATTTCATCATTAAATAAATATTTATTGAACGCGTATTCAACAAGGCGTCCATTGCCCCGCGTAAGTTCTCATGGCGTTTTCTTTGCAAGGGCACAAGCAAGAATCAGTTTTTATACTGTCAAAAGAACGCAAAAACCTGATGAAGGGAGAAGAGAGGGGGAGACAGAGAAAACTGCGCAATGAATAATTTCACATTTTACTATATTTTACACAAAAATATTTTGTGATGAGGAGGCCATGGAGGATAAGATAGCTGAGGCCTGTGTGACGTAGGAAATGTGTATAAGATTTTTGTCGGAACACCCTGAAGAGAAGAGACCGCAGTGGAAACACGGGAGAAGGGAGTACGATGATATAAATTCAGATAAATCTGAAGGCGTGGCCTGGATTCACACGATTCACGAAATGAACCAGCGAACTTGCGGGGAATTTCACGACTGACTTTGACTCGCTCCTCAATAAAGAACATTCTCTTCGGAGTTTGTTAATACTCACGAAAACAGCTTCTGTAATTGTACATTTTTGTAAGTAAATAAAATTGCTGGAAAGTAATGAGACATTTTATTTCCGGTGTGTCTTTCTAGATCGTTGTTATGCAATCTCACAGAGTTACTCCGCGGTGCAGACGCTTCCATCAAACGTTACGCAGCTTCATGACTCCGCGACGACAAAACTGCGAGTCTTGTTGACGGAAACAGATTCTCGTCCGCTGGCTTTACGTCGTCGTCCGACAAGAAGTTCTTCTCCAGTTTCGGAAAGTGAGAGAAGCGAGATGGAGCCTTTGTTCCGCTCACGTGATGTCTCGCTTTGTCGTGGTACAGATGACATTCTGCACGTCGGCACAAAATCTTCAGTTCAGGAACGCAAAGATTCCTCTTGATCATTTAAAAAAATTATTTCGGTGATCCTAGTAGCTTGCTGTTGATAGTTTCACACTAAGCTGATAGGAATTCGGCCTGGCGTGTCCCAGGTTTAATTCGCAGTCACACGCAGTCCAACGTAGGAAGCACTGATGGGGTACAAAATAGTCAAAATGAAAAACCTTCATTCACCTAACAATCTCGATTTGCTGAACAAACTCTGCAATAAACGAGACTGGAAACGTTTACTCCTCGGAGTGAACTGCAATTGCAAAGATTCTCTTCAGGCCTCGTAGTGGGTAGTGACGTCAGCAGATTATCTCGTTAATAAACACGGCTCAAAGAAATGTGGACGTATGCCACTTTTGCTAGAAAGAAATGACAATTGAAACAATTGAAGGTGCGGCCATTGTGTGTGTCTTGTAGTGCTTTGTCGCAGAATGATGTGGGATGAGGTATGTTCCTCCATTTCAAAAGGAAGGGAAGGGGTCGGTGTGCTCCTGTGTAGGAGGACATTCGTGATGGCCGCATTGAGCTGAAACACGCAGTTCAACAAGTGAAACTAGTGAAAGGTGCGTGTGTAATGATCAAGATCCAAGCCTTGGAGCGCATGGCTAATGTGATCCTGCGGTCTATGAATTATATGTAACACAGAGAACCGAACGAAACTAATGATTTACTGTAAATATATTAATCTGATTCTGGGTACGTTTGTGCGCTGAAACTCGTTTGAAGACTAGTCGTTTTCTCGTTGTTTGTGCTTATGTGTGAAAGTGATGGCTGTCTTGTAGGTTGTAGCACCGCGCAGTCTGGCAGAGTTTTACCAACGTTTCAGAGGTCCTTGCTGCTTCCATCATCAGGGAGATCATCACCCTGATGACGGAGTACTCAGAAGACAGTCTCTTCGTATTCAGCGCAGTGAGAATCTCAGATGCTGCTTAGGCTTCTGGATGTTAGAAAATTCGTCGGGCTATCAGCCGTGGTTTTATGGTAAAATTTAGGAGATTGTTCAGAGCCACCATCATCAAGTATTAATCAGTTCTAGATTAATATATTGCAGTTACAGGCCGTGAGAAGTTTAAATCTTGTTCATCTCTCAAGTTTATTTCCGCCTGGATTGTGCTTATAAGGTACAGGATCTATTTTTGACTGATAACGGCAAAGTATATTTTGCTATGTTCGGGAATAATCTTATATTTCAGTGGTTATGCGCTTTAAGTCTGCACGTGCTTATGCTGGGTTCCTCTAGCGAAGACGTAATGAAATTTGCTTAGCCTAACTTTGTGAAAGAGAACAGGGTATAAGCTAATAGAATTCATTACGGATCCCAGCGTACTGAGGCTCCATTAGACGGAGTGTTGTTACGGCTTTAAGAAACAGAATCTTCTCAGAGCAAATACTCAGGAGAACATCAGCCCTGTGATAAGTTTAATGAGCAGAAGTCTGGAACAAACATGCATTTGTGTCTTACAAGACAACTGATAAACAAATACTGTCTTATGGTTTGCAAGGAACTTGTACTGACACGGGAAAACGAGGTTTCCTTCATTTATCTGCAGGACATTGTTTATTCCTTGCCTTTACAAAATCCTTTACTGACTTTGCGTATTTACTCTGATTTATACGGAGACAGAAACGTCTGATTGTTTCCAAGTTGAGGACATAAAATCAAAGAACCCCCTTTCAGTACAGAAACTCAGGCTAAAGAATAAATCTATCCGAATTCGCTTAAATATTTACTTTTTAAATTAAACATTTTCTTTATAGATTACTTTTAAGGTTAAAGGTGATTATAAACAGAGAGACCCGAAGGTGATTAACATAAGCAACTGCAATCTGTGTGAAAAGCCAACTTCCTATCAATGGTTGAAAAAAAGAATTGGAATCAGAAAGCAAAATATTTAGTGGGAACACGAGTTCAGAATCAAGATTTTTCCAATTTGAAGGAAGTGAGGTTTTACTAATTTTTACGGAGTCGCATTGAATATTTTTCGACATTAAATTTAAACCAGCCAGGATTGTGTCCTTCCAAGCTTTGTACAGTACGATGATCCACACAGTAGCAATTTACTATCACAAGCCAACTTATTTTCTTTCATATTACACAACGGACCAAATGTGCAGAACCATGATGGACCGTGACTTTGCTCTTTTCCGTCCAGCGCAGTACGTCCCTTCCGTCAACATCATTTCATTCACCAAAGTTTGTTTCAAGTGCCACTTTCCAGAACAAATGACAGCACGTATTTAATTCTTATAGCTTTTTCCTCTACGTCTCCGACACTGTCAGAAAATATTAAAATTCCAACAAATCAACCCGTTGATTGGTTTATCTTTCTGTAAAATTGACAAAAGGGGCCGAGATCGGTGCACACAGAGTTGCAGAAGAGAATAACTACGCTCTCCACTTGCCTCGTGCACATAAGCGGTTTTCATTTGTTTAGTTTATTTTCAGGGCAGAAAACTGCTTAGTAGCTAGCTCATAACGTAGGGGCCGATTAGGTCACAGTCTGATTCCTCTTAAGCGCTGCTAAGCAGGACGGTGGCATCAGCAGAATCCTAGGGACTACGAGTTCTTCTGCAGGCCCGCACAGCGTCTGCACGTTTCTTCTCATTAAGTTCGTACACCGGCTCAATGCGGATTCCGCGAAATATGAACGGATGTTTCAGCTCTAAGCACCTAATGTTAGCACAACCGGAGGTGTCTGCTGTACGTCGTTGTTTACAGCGTGGATTCTAACTCCATTCCAAATCGCGATTCGCTTCCGGTGTCACACATCAGAATCCTTTCAATCAAGCTCAACACGTTTATATTACGACAATTCCACCGCAAGCGAGGACGTTCCTCTTACGTACTGACTAAACATTGCACCGCGTCGTGGAATTAATGTGGCAGTTTATTTCAGGCTCTGTAAAGTGACACTGCATCAACTACAAGTGCTCTTCAGGAAAGACAAGTTATTAGCAGCAATGCGGAATACAAGCGACAGCATCGAGATTCTTGTTCCGATTACAGCGCAAGTGGATTCCTCCCCGAAGGGGAGTTGTAACGCGACGTATGCAATTTGCGTTAATTCAGAAACAGCATTGTCTGGGCTGTAACGCTCTGTGACAGTCGGAGGTTAGTCGGGGAGGAGAGGAGGAGGTAAACAACGACTGTGGCAATGGCGGGCCTCATTCTTCTTTCAGGATCTCACACAAAAGCACAGTCGACCCAACCCAAGACAAACTTTTAATCCGGAAGTCTGCAATACAAAAAGCAAATTAGCGACCTCAGGGAGTGTTTAACAAATGAGACGCGTACCGTTTCGTTTGAGATAGCACATTAAGGGCAAAGGAATTAACAACGCGGAGACACACAGACTTTGAAATATCTTCTCGATGTACCAGCATCCTTTCCTGCTGTAGTTGTCAGAATGTCCTGAGTTCCACTCTCAGCAAGTCCTCAAACTTTGCTGATTCGTTCGCAGGAAAGCGCCTATTAGCTCGCTCTCTCTCTCTCTCTCTCTCTCTCTCTCTCTCTCTCTCTCTCTCCGCATGTAATGCGACTGAACAGATAATCGTTATATCATTCATAATGAGGAGTTTCGCTGTAGTTTGTCGACACGTCCCTACTTTGATTAACAACAGATTTCATTAACACTAGCATCCTTTTACAACGCATGGTTTTTGCTCTAGCTCAAGGTCAAACGGTTAAGAGTCAATTGTGACCGATAATTAACGCCACATCCTCTTAAATCCATCATTTAAATCATATCTTCCTACACAGACAACGAAATTGATGCAAACATCGTTAATGATGTTACAACAAGCTGACGTTGAATCCAACCGGATTTGAGGAATGGATTGCTCTTAACG